CTATATTGTACACCTGAAACTGATATTATACTATATGTTAGCAATACTGGAATTTAAATTAAAAACTTAAAGAAAAAGATTACATTTGTTTACACTTTAAAAGAAAATGCTCCCATTTGTCCCAGTACTGAAGGGGAAATAATCTGATATATAATTTATCATTTTTATCTCAATATTTATTTCCATACTTTTTAAATTTAACTTGTTCCTCTGTTTGTTAGTCTCTGCATTATATGTATTTAGGCAAATAATTTAGCTAACAAAAGTGTACTTCTTATGAGCTTCTAGTACATAATAAAATTTTAGTATAAAAAGATCAAAATTTATTAAGTGATTAGGAAGAAGTGATTAGGAAGTGATGAGGAAGAAATCATTTTAAAGTAACTTTGAAAAATTTTGCTGCATATTTTCTTAAGTCCCACATCTGAAAAACTTATCATAAGGAAAATTTTAAAACATGCCAGGTCACTTTTTGTTTTAATATTCATAAAAATTAAAAAGATCTGCACTTTATTATGTTTGGAAATATTTCTCATTATACAGCATTTTCAATAAATACACCCAAATGCTTTTATTTAACAAATAAATATATATCCCTAATATAAATTAAGCAATGAAAAAAAATAAATCTATATCCCTTAGATAAATTAAGAAATGAATGGTTGTATATTTGCATTTTAAAAATTATTTAACATTTATTTCCAAAGCACCATTATCGAGTCATGGCAAAAGTACAGGTTTTCAAACAGAATAATTTGTCTTTTTTTTTTTTCTTCACAAAAACATTATGTTTTGTGTTCTTAAAGTAATATTTTTCTTCTATATAATGCCTTTCTGGGCATTTTATAAGCTATATATTAACCCAAATAAGAAAATAATAGCACTTAATTTCAATAACCAGCAATAACATTCTGGTATATAAATCTTAATTTTTTCCCTCCCTTTGTCTTTTGTATAGGTTATATGTATACAGATTTTTATGAATATATATAGTTTTTTAAATTATCACTTATAAACTATAGTACTATATCACCATTTAATCTGTTATAATTACAAATTGCAATGTCTTTATTTTACATTTATGTATGTGAATGTACATGCACATCGTATGGTTTCTTTTTCATGGATACATCATAGTATTCTGTAGATATACCACAAGTGCAGTTTACTAACTCTTATTGTTGGACATTTAGAGTTTATTTTCCTAGGCCATTACAATTTTCAAACAATGTAGCAATAAATCTACTTGCATGTACATCTTGCACATTGATTTCTTTAGGAACAATCCTAGGAAGTGAAATTTCAGATTCAAAGGTTTGACCATTGTAAACCCTTTTGATACACAGTACCAAATATGTTGTATTTTTAAACAATTTACTTTTTATCATTGTACATCAGGTACTTTGGAAAACATTCATATAAATGACCATCAATTTTTCTGTCAAAAAAGCTGTCAATGACTCAGTCTGAAAAACAAATTTTTTTCACAGTTAACAGATATTGAAAGACAGTTAAAATATTCAATGAAAGTCAAGGACAGTATTTTCTTTTTGAATGGCTTGGCCTTTGAAAATAACCTAACAAAATACTATGTTTCTCTTTTATCTCAAGTACATTTTTATTTATTCTTATTTCTCTCATTACATCTTATGTAGTCATTTTAACAATTTCTAGTCCTCTGACCAGTGAAAGACATTAATAGGTTATCTTTATAGTCTTTCTTACTGAAACTAGAAAAGAGACAAAAATAACCATGCTTTCTCCTCTGTAATCATCATCTTGAAGTGGGCAAGTAGAGATTGTATACACTGGTTTACCTTTTTCTTTATTGCACTTTATTTGGTACATACCTACATGCATTTAAAGATTATGTGAATTTGGCCCTTTTAGCTTTGTTCATTTGGAATATGTTAATTCTGTCACTGTGATCATTATTGTCTGTAGTCTTGTTTTGTTCCTCTTCCACTTTGTTCATATTTTCTTGGAAGAAATGTTTGTAATCTAGGATTCAATAGGATAGTTACTAAAAGTAATTTTTTCCTTTCCTCAATGGTTTGGCAAAATATACTTAAATTTTAAAGATATGTTTCTACTGTACATACAGTAATAGTCTTCTTTAACCTCAATCAGAAAAATATCTCATATATATTTTGTTCTATGCTCAGATTCCAATTATTATATCTCTGTGTATTTTATAAAAGTCAATTAGATTTGTTAAAGCTACACTTTATCCATATTGTTATCAAGTATTTGGGGAGTTTCAACAGGTGACAGTTTTATATTTCCTATGATGAATCTCTTTACCAGTAGGATACTTTTCTCTCTAAGGATATCATTGTGAAGTGTTTTCTTTATGAGAATATGTTGATAAAAATGTAGAAGAGAAATGGAAGACTTCATAAGAGCCAAACAGTTTGAAGAGAGGAATATCTGGTTACTGTTTGTCCTAAGGATTAGCCAGCCACCTAGGAGAATTTAAAGTTGTAAGTTAAATGTATATTTACCCAAGTTTGTTGACTGTATACCCAGTAAGGTGGTCACTTGAGATTTCATTAGTTGAGGCTCTTAACAAAGAATCTTCTAATCTAAGGTCTGTCTGTAGATGGTAATTGAGTCTGGGGATGAGAGATGTGTTTGAGATTGGAATTTAGTTGATAACATATTTAAATAATTTTATCACTCTCTCTATTTACATCTTTGTTTACTTACAGCAAATACAAATTAATATTCTTCTTAGCCCCCCAGTGATCTGTTAAATATGAATGATGTTCCATAAACCGGATTCTATAAAATCTTTAAACCATTACTAAGGAGAAAGGCTTCTTTGTGAAGCAATATTAAATCAATGTGTTGTGCTTTTTTTTTTTTTTAACACAAACAAAAAAACCATTTTGCTTTAATGCAGGGATTATCAAACCATGGACCACAGACCACATCAGGCCTGCTGCCTGTTTTGTAAATAAGGTTTTAATAGAACAGTGACATTCATTTGTACATGTATTGTCTGTACCTGCTTTCGTGTTATAGTGGCAGAGTTGTGATAGAAAACATATAGTCGGCAAAGCCTAAGATACTTACTATGGGCCCTTTACAGAACAAGTTTGTCAGCTTCTGCCAGTATATATCACAATGGTAATTAAAAAGAATTTGATGTAGCTTCATAGGAGGCTGATGTCCAGCAAATAGTCTAAATATTAGATAATGCATATGTATGTATGTATGTATGTGTTTATATCTATGTGTATGTATATATATTTAAATATGAATATATAAAATGTGTTCAAGCTTCTTTGTCTGTTGGTGCTATTTATGTTAATATACTATCTTGCTACCATGATATCAAAATGAAATCTTTTCAGAGACCTTCCCAAACACTCAATTTAGGTAATATTCTTTAAGTTCACATAGTTTTTTGGATGTGGGGATGGCTTTTTTGTTTCCCTGCCCTTGGAGAAAATAAACATATTTACCTGAGAATAGCTCTTAAGGTACAAATAATTTCAAAATTGTATTTAAATAGGCTGACAGACATTTATATTTCACTGTATTCTACATTCATATCACTCACTCAATTTTATGTATCACCCAATTTATATCAATATGACATATCCCTATTTTATAATTTGGCACAGATTTAATGAAATCATTATTAAAACGAGACTCTTAAAAGGAACAAATTGCCTCACTTTATTGAATAATTGACTTACATTTACTGTTATACTTAGAGGTCATGTAATATAGACTATACATTCTTTTATTTAGGATTTTCCTACTCCTTTTTGAATTTTTTTCTTTTTTTAAAATCTTATTTTAAATTAATCGGTTTTTACTTAAAATTTGTTACCAACAAGAATTATCTGATATACAATGAGATTTTTTCAGGATAAGTATTAAAATACTTATTTTTGAATAAGCATACTTTTGTCTAGAGATCTTTACTTCAGTTTTCAGTTAAGCAAGAGCTATATATATATATGTTTACATTCCTCCCCACACTCAGTGGTTATGAATTTACATGATGACTTATTGTTGTTGATACCCACTGAGCCCAATGAGCTATGATTATTTTTCCCAGTTTGTAGATTTGTAGTATACAATTGGGATTTTGTGAACATAATCTCATTATGCATACTTATGAGAAATGGAATTTTCCTGTAAAATCTCTTTAATAAAAGTTATAAATATAGCTTAAAAACGCTTTTCACGTTTGCTAAGATTTGCTAACTGAATTTAGTTCTTATTCTAACCAAAGTTTTTAAAGGCCCTCTTAACATCTATAATTGATGTTTTGGAAGTAGGACCCGTTATAGAGAATTATTAGTCTCATTTTGTAATGGGTTTACCATCTCACTTTCTCACCTCCTTGCATTTTTTTTTTCCTGAAATGAGCTCAGGTATACTCTGTGCCTTTACTGGCATGGTATAGTCTCAGGAGTATTATTCCCAGTGCCTCTTTCTTGATGCTATTTCTAGAAAATTCAAGTTCAAAAGATCCATATGTAAGCTTGGGAAACCTGCTCTAACACGTGGGCTAATTTTATGAGAATAGTTTCTAAACACAATTGTAAAATTGTAGTTGAAACCAATTAGACTTACAGCTATTTTTCAGTAAATAATCAAATCCTGATGAATCACAAGCCAAAGTTTTTATTTATAGTGTTACTATTATCAAGTTTATGTTCTGTCAAATATATTCTCCTGGGCATACATGTACCAGAAAGTGTTTTCTATCTGGTTAAGATTTGTTGTTCTGTTAAAATTCATTTACATTTTATTCAGATTAAATTTTTTTACATATTTAGTAATCATGCTTTTATTCACCAAATTGCATACTTTAAATAAATCTAAGAAACAATATGACATTTTAATTTGTATGTACTACCTTGAATGAAAATACCATATCAGCCTAGCATTTCTTCTATTATTCTATTATTACATCCTGTAAGGGCTCAGAAATAAGAACTGAACATTAATTTTATGGGTTTTTTTCTACTCGATAGGTGCTATGGATATAGAGGAGAGAAATCGCCAAATGAAAATTAACAAATACAAACAGGTAGCCGGATCAGATCCCAGACTGGAGCAAGATTACCATTCAAAGGCAAGACATTTTTCTTTTTAAAAGTTGTAATATAAACAATTAATCATATGAAACCGTTAGATTCTCTTCAACTTCTGAACGCAGACTAGTTAGACACAAACATATAATGCAATGGCCCCATGATACCAAATGCTAAAATTTATAATGTGTTTTATATTCCAACTTTAAGTTGTCTTACTAAAAAAGTCATTATATAATATAGGAAATTAAAGATATGAAACTCATAAATGATCTGAAGAACAAATCTTTTAGAATTTTTTATTTTGTAGAACCTACAAGGGTCTAACGCCCTCAAAAATGTTTAGGAAGAATGGCTGTGGTTTTTCTGTACATAGATTTTTTTTTCAACTTGATAGTATTTCAGTTGATTCTGGTTTAATAATGAGTTACTAGAACAAAATATATATTCATATGAGATGTAAGTTCAAGAGGTATTTTTTAGTGAGCATCTTTTGGAGCTACTTTTTGGGAACAAGTTGAGGTTTGAGGTCTACCAGGGAAGATTCCTGCCCTTTGTTGTTTTTATATTTTCAAAACGTTTTTAGGTTCATGATATTATTTACGGGCAAAGTCATGAAAAGACTTTGCTCTGATGTACCTATTTAAGATTTAATAAGAGAATGAAAATAGCAAAATTTACTCATAACATTTAGTTACTATGTGTTCTGTGACTTAGTAATGTGATCATTGCAATCGTGTAATATTTGTGGTCTATAGATATCTGTGTATTAGAGAAAAGTAGTGTCAATTTTTTACACTTAGGTCTATTTTAACTTTACCCACTTAAACTTTAGTTCCTGTCCATTATACTCCATTATTTGGTGAAGTCATACTTACTAAGTAAAGCATAACTGATTACATTAGGTAAGCATATATGGTCAGTATCATACGTTTTAGTTTCCCCATTGTATCACCTAAAGGAGATACAGATTTTCACATCAACGTCATCTTCCAAATGACCAATCTCTTCCCAAAATTACGCAAATACTGACATGGTCAATGTAGGATTGTTCCTCATAGAGTTCAGATGTCCTGGAAATGACACAAGCCTAAAGCCAGAGAAAGGTAAATTCAAGACAAATAAAGCCCTGCTTTTACTTAGCAGGCCCTAAAATATATTTATTTTCTAAAATAAAAATATGAATAATTTCAAATAGGCTCAGTGAATTTCATAGAAAATAGTTTTATAATGATACAGTGTTTCAGATACCTACCAATCTTTTGAGCTTAATGTCCGAAATGATACCTATGTCTTTTCCCAGGTACTTTGTTGGTATTTCTTCTTAGGGCTAAATAGATACACCTGACCTTTTGTGACATCACTTATACTCGAATCTCTCATTCCTTCACTATGTATGATCCAAAGGCCAAAGCATGTCGTCCTAACAAAAGAGGATCTTAAAACTTCTAGAAACATGTCTTCAACTAACAACATCAATTTTTTTTAATCTCCTGCTATATTTTAGGAAAGAATGTAGATGATTTTTTAAAGTACATATAATACTCTCAATAGTAGTCAATGAAGAGATGAGTATGAAGGGAAAATGAAGTCAAGCAAAACAACATAACAGTAGAAGTAAAGGGTGGGAACAAAATGCGTAATATGAGACCCTGTATACCTGCGGCTTGTGCGAGTGTTTTGACTGTGAGCTTCCTAAAAAGCAGCAAAGGCAGAAGGGGAAACTGAGTCAGTTGTATAATTCCCATTGTTTATACAATAAAAACGAGTCCCGTAGATGCAACACCAATGATTCTTGCTATAGATACCTGACAGAAATTTGTTCTAGGAGAATGGACCAGTGGAATACAAGAAGCATGGCTCCAGATTATTTAAAAAAACAAAAAACAAAAAACAAAAACAAGTTTTGATTCCATTCCAATTCATAAATAAATTAATTCTTGAATCTTCAAAGTTTTATAACTTTGACGCCAATTATTTTGGGCTGGAGAAGATTTAAATCTTGGCAAAGGACTAATTATATTATGCAATATAATTTCATTGGTATTCTGTAAGGAAGTGGTTTTCTAGGTATAGTCCCAGACCAGTGACATCATCACCTGAGAAATTCTGGAAGTGCAATTCTCTGGCCCACGTACTTAATCAAAACTCTCAGGGGGAGAGTCTCTGTATTTTAGCAAACCTACCAGGGGATTCTGATGTACACCAAAGTTTGAGAACTACTGCTCTAAGGTAAGCTGCTTGCAAAATTGACTTCCTCTATTAGGGTCTTAGCTGGAAGCCATGATGAATGACATCATTAAAAAAATGGAGACTTTGAGATTAGATTATCTGACACCTTCACAAGGTGCTCATAGTTTATAACATCCTATCACTTGAGTATCAAACACTTACCATTATGTTTTCTGTTACTGAAGTTATGCATTCAGCTTAACTAAAAATGTATTTAAGCCATTAAGGTACAACTTCATTAAAGGGTCCAAAACACAACTCTATTTCATTACCCCACAAATTATTTACTGATGTGGAACTATCTTTGCTGGGTCATCTATGTCCCCATCATCCCTAACTTGATCTTCTCTGTCATGGATCAAAAAGAAAATTACAGAAGATACTTTTTCAGTCAAGAGTATATATAGATTTAGTTATTATTCATTTTCATATTAATAGTTTCTTAGATTAAAATTTTTGACAACATCTGTCCTTTTAATTATTCATAAATAATTCAATATAAATATAGCTTGTATTCTCATTCTTCTATATTTTAATAACAAGTATTAATTTAAGGCTTGCTCTTGAGTCATGTGCTTTAATACATTAGGTCTAATTCTTGACCAAAATCATTTACAGATGAGAGAACTAAGATATAGAAAAGTTAAGTAATCTGCCCAAGTTCACATGGCCACTGAGTCCTGGAAATTATCATTCATAGATGACCTGATTCTCAAATTTAAGATAACTAAGACCAAATCCCAAACCTCAAACATATGGAGCCTATACTATACTTCCAAGCTATCTCCCTGAAATTTCAGAAAGGCTATTAAGAAGCTTTGGTGGACTCTAATTTAGTGTTAGTGAAGTGGTTTTTTTAATTACACAAGCCACATTTTAAATGACATTATATCCCTGAATTTTTCAAGCTTTCCATACCGATAGTTGTAAACAATTCTTACTAAGTTTTTAAAACTCTCCTTAGTAACTGACTTTGAAAGCATCTGTAGAAACAGTAACTACCATGTTACTATCTAAGAATATTTTAAGTATACTAGAAAATTTGAAGACAGAAAAATTTGTATCAAAGAAGAGCTATAAAAAACACGTGCAGACATATTTCCTGTTTAACCAGGGGATGATTTCTTAAGGGGTTTTCCCTCAAAGCAGAATTTAACTATGTAGCTGGTGCACCCCCATGCCTCTCTTTATCCCAGCTTAACTCGTCTATTCTATTCTCAACAGAAATTTAAGGAGCAACATTGATTTTTCCTATAAAATCAATATTTTCTGTTCTTCATTGGTTCAGAGGAAAAGTGATTTGTCTATTAAATTTAACAGTGCAAAATATAATTCGGCATAGACCAACTACCCTGCTTGCTAATTAAAAGAATTAGCAATAATTGAATGTTGATGTGTAACTATACCTGAAAATTAATATGGAGAATTTGGTAATGTTTATTTAAATAAATAATGTTTATTTTTTTACTTAGCCATGTTTATTATTTTATAATGATCCTGGAAGATATTTTTTAAAAGGGTAGTCCCTAACATTTCCATAGAGAATGCTATACAGTTCATTGGTACAGCATTTATTTGGAAATCAAAGCTTTTATCTCTATAGAAATAATGCTATTTTTAAAATTAAGTAATTAAGTAATTTTGTGTTCCCACAAAAATATCTTACTCTTATTATAACAGTGTTATATATAAATATCATATTATAATTTTGCTTTCTTATTTATCTCCCTAGAATTAAGTAAGAAAGCCCATAAGTGCCCAGAACTTTTCGAATGTGAACCAAAAGACTATATTAATGCATTTAATCCTTAATCCAATAGACTGACTTAGTGTTCAGGGAGCAGAGGACAGTGTAGTAAAAAAGAGGAAAAGGGTCTTTCTCCATTCATTGTGCACAGTTGATCCCACTTCTTGTCACCTTGTTCCCAGGCTTTTTATCCTCTAGGGATCCATTCACTGATTTCAAAGAGGAAAACAACCTAACTCAAGTAATTTACATTATAATATGAATAACATAACCACACAGAAATAATTTCAGTTTTTTAAATCTGTAAATACAACTAAAACTCACACTGATGGAATTGCAAACATTATCAATGAAAACAATTTCACTTAAAGTATTTTTGACAACTAGGTCCCCACTGTTAACTAAGCTGTTCCCTTTATTAGAGCTTACTCTCTTCTCCACACTGAGGATACACTGTCAAGGCCAGCCTGTGGTGTTTTAAATTGATTTCCAAGACATAGGCCAAAGGGGAACCAGGAGAGGGAGACAGGCTGGGGCAGGTTTGGACTTGCTGCCTATTGGCTATTTGTAAGTTTGCTGTTTGTGAACAGGAGCGTTTGAAGACTCCAGTGGCCTCACAGTGTGATTAGTACATCAATATCGGGTAGTGTAGTAGATAGACACACAGCTGGGAGCCAGGCAACGCCCCCCTGGGTGACTTTGGGTAGGTTGACCCTTTATTCTCAGTTTCTTTATCTATTACACTGGGCTTTGAGACCTGCTCCCTAGGGTGATGATAGGGTAAAACGAGATGATGTATATGAATGGCTTAGACGTTAGGGATTAAATGCTTAATACATGGTGCCCATAAGATTGGTTTTTATTTTTGGAATAATGATGTAGTCATAGATACCAGAAATTAAAATGACAAGGTTGAAAAGAAATAGTAAAGTGATAATGGAGCTAATGAGAAGGATTTCAGGGTAACTCAAATATCATGGAATGGTCCCTAGGTTCTCAGAGAATTCAAGCATCAGAGATTTAAAAGGAAAAATAAGACTTAAGGGGAAAGAATTTATGAAT